AAAAGAAATTTATTCTGTCACAGCTCAGGGGGCCACAGGTCTGAAATCAAGGTGCTGGCAGGGGCACACTCCCACCAAAGGCCCTGGGAGGGATCCTTCTTTGCCTCTTCCAGCTTCTGGTGGCTGCCGACGTTCCTTGGCTTACAGCAGCATAACTCTAATGTCTGCCTCCTTCTTCACGCGGCCTTGCCCTCTGTGTCTCTGTCTTCTCCTTTTCTGTCTATGGTACGGACACTTTGTCACTGAACTTAGGGCCCACCCTAAATCCAGGATGATCTCATCTCAAGATTAACTTACTTACGTCTTCAAAGACCCTGTTTCCAAAACGGTCACGTTCACAGGTACTAGGGGTTAGAGCTTTGGATATATCTTTTTTTTAAATGGCTTTATTGACATATTATTCACATACCATACAATTTGCCCATTTAAAGTGTATAATTTTATAACTTTTAGTATATTAGCAGATATATGCAACCATCATGACAGTCAATTTTGGAAACTTGTCAAGAAGAAACCCCAGCACTAAGCGACCACTAATCTACTTTCTATCTCTATATAGATTTCCTTATTCTAGACTTTCATATGAGTGAAACTATATAGTATTTGGTCTTTTGTGACTGGCTTCTTTCACTTAGCATGCTTTGAAGGTTCATCTGTGTTTTAGCAAATATCAGTACTTCGCTCCTTTTTATTATATTACCGAATAATATTCTGTTGTATGGACATAACACATTTTGTTTATCCATTCATCCGCTGATGGACATTTGGGTTATTTCCACATTTTGACTATTATGAATAAGTTGCTATATACAAGTTTCTGTGTGGATACTTGTTTTCACTTCTCTTAGATATATACCCGGGAGTAGAATTGCTGGGTCATATCGCAATTCTAATGTTTAATTGTTTGAGGAGTGGTTGCACCATTTTACACACCAGCAGTGTATGAGGGCTCCAATTTCTCCATATCCTCCCCAACACTTGTTATCATCCAACTTTTTATCTTATAGGGTGTATCTCATGGTTTTGATTGTATTTCTCTGATGCCTGATGATGTTGGGCACCTTTTCATGTTTACTGGCCATTTGTATATCTTCCTTGGAGAAATGTCTATTCAGATCCTTTGCCCATCTAATTGAGTTGTCTTATGTTTGAGTTGTAAGACATCTTCATATAGTCTAGATACACGTTCTTTTTTTTTTTTTTTTATTTCAGCATATTATGGGGGTGCATATGTTTAGGTTACGTATGTTGCCCTTGCCCCCCCCCAAGTCCGAGTTTCAAATATGTCCATCCTTCGGGTGGTGCGCATTGCACTCTTTGTGTATGAAAATACCCGTCCCCTCCTCCCCCTTCCCCCCTTCCCCCTCGCCCAACATCCAATAGATGTTATTCTTATATGTGCATTTATGTGTTGATCAGTTAATACCAGTTTGATGGTGAGTACATGTGGTGCTTGTCTTTCCATTCTTGGGATACCTCACTTAGATACACGTTCTTTATCAGATACCTGATTTGCAAATATTTTATCCCATTCTGTGAATTGTTTTTTCACTTTCTTGATGTTGTTCTCTTGAGCACAATAGTTTTTAATTTTGATGAAGTCCAATTTACCTGTTTTTAATTTTGTTGCTCGTGCTCTTGGCATCATATCTAAGAGATCTTTGCCAAATCCAAAGTCATGAAGATTTTTACCTGTGTTTTTGCCCAAGAGTTTTATAGGACATCTTTTTGGGGGCCACTAACAAGACAACCCATTATAATAATTATTATTTAATTATAGCAAACTCCCGGGGTACAAAACCACACAATAAAGAGAGAAGGGGTGGGGGAGAACATACGATCAGTGGCTTGACATTACCAATCCAAAAAATCTAAGCAATTTATTTTCTAGTAGTCTAGTTTATAAACAGGTAACAGGTAGCTACATTTCAGAATCATCAAGGAAGACACCATACACACACTCAAAAACATCTCACATTGATTTCACTAATTATTAACCATGCATCACATAATTAAAAGAACCAAAGCCCCAAAGTCAAAGACAGACCTTTGTTCAGATGCTGATTCTTGCTATTCACTCACTGTACAGTAGTCCCCCCTTATTCTCAGGGGATACACTCCAAGACCCCCACTGGATGCCTGGAACTGTGGATACTACCAAACTCTATATATACTACATTTTTCCCATATATACATACCTATGATAAAGTTTAGTTCATACATTAGGCACAGTAAGAGATTAATAATGAAATAGAACAATTATAACAATATGCCAGCATTACTCCTCTTGCAGTTTGAGGCCATTATGAAGTAAAACAAAGGTTACTTGAAAACAAGGACTACGATACCATAACAGTTAATCTGACAATCAAGATGGCTACGAAGTGACTGATAGGCAGGTAGTGTATACAGCAGGGAGAAGCTGGACAAAGGGAGTATTCACATCCCAGGCAAGGCAGAGTAGGGCAGCATGAGATTTCATCACACTACTCACAACAGCACACAATTTAAAACTTATAAATTGTTTACTTCTGGAATTTTCTATTTAATAGTTTTGGACTATGGTTGACCACAGGTAACAGAAATCTCAGAAAGCAAACCAGGCATAAGGAGAACCACTATATAACCTTGTGGGTATTATTTAACTTCTCCAAACATCAGTTTCCAGATAATACTTCTGTTGCAAAGATAAAATGAGATAATATATACAAAATATTTAGCAAAAGTCCCGATACATAGTAGGTGTTCACTTAATACTGCATTAGCTTCTTTTTCTCTTACTTCACACCTACCTAAAATTAGCAACACTAAAGAAATAAGGATTTTGTTGGGGAATGGAGGCAAGAGGGATAACTTCAGAGTACAAGGTAATTCAGACAGAGTATCAGAAAGCTCTGGAATTCTTAGAAGAAGCAGAAGAAAGAGTCACAAGGCAGTGATGATCATTTCAGTTGTTCCACAGGCGAACTGTAAGTGCTATAGGCATAGAGGGAAAAGTAATGGCATTGGTAAGAATTTAAAAGGCCACAAATTTCTGTTTTGCCAATCTAGGGTAAATTGTATACATTCAATTCCTACCTCCTTCTTTGGGTAAACCCTGTATTTAACTGAAGATATTTCCTCTGTTCAGAGACCGAGTACCACTGTTACTCTTACTAACAAACATATAACCCACTGTAAAATGACACCATCAAACAGATGTATTATACCAAAGAGTAATATCCAGGCCGGACACAGTGGCTCACAACTGTAATCCTAGCACTCTGGGAGGCTGAGGCAGGAGGATCACTTGAGGTCAGGAGTTCAAGACTAGCCTAAGCAAGAGCAAGACCCCATCTCTACTAAAAATAGAAAAAATTAGCTGGGTGTGGTGGTGCATGCCTGTAATCCCAGCTACTCGGGAGGCTGAGGTAGGAGGATCGCTTGAGCCTGGGAGCTTGGGGTTGCTGTGAACTAGGCTGATACCATGGCACTCTAGCCCGGGTAACAGAAAGAGACTCTGTCTCAAAAATAAACAAATAAATAAAATAAAATAAAAAATAAAAAAGTAATATTCATCTCCTCAGAATAACTATTAATTGATTAATCCCAGACTGAGTATCAACTTGAACTGCTTACCACTTCTGAAGATAGCAAAAGCCCACCCTTCCCAGATTCTCTACTTAAAGGACTGATCGATTTAAATCTCTCCAATAAGGCTAAGTCCTTAAATTATTAATACTTAAGGTCAACTGTAAGACTCCTATACTGGGAATACAGTGTCAGTATTCAGTATTCAGGCATAAGCAGCCACAATACTGTCCCGAAAAGTTCCAAGATCATACTCACATCCTCACACAACACTGCTGCCATTTCCATATCACACGCAAACCATGGAAAGGAAGAAGATGTGAATATCCAGTTCTGCAAATGGCCTCTAAATTACCTAAACCTGTTCTTTATCTAGGCATTGAATTTCTCAGTATTTACTTTCAAGTCTATTATCCAGAAGGTGACTGTTCATTTTATTTTCTCTTTCACCATTTTCTATAATATATTTCTAAGGAATTTTTTAGTATTCTCTCAGTTCTGGATCACATTCTACCCTCACTTACCACTCTAAAACTTACAGAAGAATTTCCCTCATATCTAGAAAAAAACAAAATGCTATGTACAGATATTAATACATAGTTTCCTGTCATCTGAGTTAATAATATAATTTAACAAATCCAAACAACAATACAAGACTTAATCAGAAGATGTTATGATACAACATAATAAACTCCAGTCCCAAAATTCTTGAAATATGATTGGTAGCCTAAAAACAAAACACTAGAGATCCATCATAACTCAACTCTTCATTATAGCAATGTTTTTTATGTTATCTCCTGATTTATCGCCAACTAATATTTATTTACAAAGTGCTTCCATACAATATTTACAAAGTATGTTCACATAAATCCTCTCATTTGAGCTTCACAATCTAATTATTTAAGTTGTCATCATTCACATTTTACAGAGAAACCAGCTGAAGTGAAGTAACTTGCCCCAGTAAGACAGCATGTAAGTATCCAAGCTGGGACTCAAGCTAAGCTTTAGATCTTTAAGCCTACTCTTGTTCTAAGACAATTTTACCTTTCAATAACACCAGAGATTATTTCCACCAAACTAACTGCTTAACAGCACAATCAGTAAAGTTACTATTCCGGAAAACTGATACAGAGCCAAAGCAAGGCCCTCTGATCAAACTTGGAAAATGCTCCAAGTCACCTGCCAAAGAATAGATCCCCGAGCATCTCATGAGAACTCTCCTTTGTTACACATCTGTATTTTCCATGAATGTTAAAAAATATGTATATACACACACACGTATATGCAGTGTGTGTGTGTATGTATATATAACTTACAATAAATTAGGTTTACAACTCCATTGGGTATACTTCTAAGAAGCCGTCACTTATTTGAACATGCATTCATTTTTAAACATCAAAATCTAAAACAAATCTAAAGAAAGGTCTTACCTGTTCACCTGCATCTTGAAACTCTTTGCATGCATCAGGGAACACATCATAAACAATAAGCGGATAGCCATGTTTCATGAGATTTTTTGCCATTGGATTTCCCATGTTGCCCAGTCCAATAAATCCAACTGGAGTCTTAGAAGCCATTGACCTAGAACACACTAATTTCAATACATTACTTTTAGATAACATTTTTTATTATAAACATTCATTTAATATTAGTAAATCAACTGTTTTTAGATGATTCCTACAAAGGAAACTTTTAAAAGGCTAGTTTTAAACTAATGATCTAATAACATTTAAAGACATCAAAGATGTCCAGGCAGACTAATTTCTAATTATTTAGTTCTCCAGGAAACATTCATAATATTTTAAGTAATTCTTCCTATTTTCTACTTTTATAACATTCCTTTACCATTTTTAACAATAAACTCAATAATGTTGTCATTTACAAAACACCTATTATGTACTTAACCCTATTATGTGAAGTATACTAGATTCCTCATATCTATATTATCTCCTTTAATAATGTATATAAAAGACTGAGAGTATAGATGTTTGAGCTACATGTTCAAGGAAAAAAAAAAAGCAAGAATGAAAGTACTCAGTAAAACCCATATCGTGGACATCTTGGACTGGGTCCAAGAATGGAAAAGCTTTTTACCTTACCACTCCCTTACTTATAGAAACCATCCTTCCAATGGTTTTTAAAAATCTCAATAAAATGTTAAACCCAAGAAAATGTATTTCAATCAAAAGTCACCAGTTTATAAAGATGGTCCTGGGAGCAGGAAGAGGGATACTTTCATAGGCTTTAAATGACAAGGGTTACAGTATCAGGACATGGGTCTAATAACTCTGCACTTTCAGAAAAGAGGGACTTCCATTTCCAAAAATGTTTTAAAAGTACTTAAAAATTGTATACAAGTTTTGTTTATTAATTTTTTCATAAAAGGCTTTTCGAAATTATATCGGGGGCACACAATTCAAAGTAATGCTTTAGAAAGTAGAACGGTCAGATTAGGAAAAACAAAGTGAAGGGGATTTACATTACAATGGCAATAACATCAGATGCAATTTCTTGGTTTCTAGATTGAGAACCCCACTCAACATATATTCACTGCTTCAAGTACCATGACAGAGCTCAGAGACAGACACAAGGGTCCTTACCCTCAAAAAGCTCAAGTCTAATAAGGGAAAAAAGAGAAATAAGTCTATTTGCCCTTTCATTTCCTGGATTTATTTTTCCTTTTTCTTTCAAGGACTCCAATTTTAAAACTGCATAGAGCAACAATAATCACAGTCAACCCCAACTGAACTTAATCTGCTCTTCCTTGAACTTAATCTGAATGTAATGAGATTTCTTAAAAGCAAATTATCTGAAGCCCTAATGCTTAAGAAACAGAGGTCTTCTTTGCTTAGAAGAATATTTCATTCCTTTTAACTTGATGATTGACACTAACGCTTCCATTAAATCTGGGTGTATCCCTGTGCGATATCACTCTCCAGGTGCTAAGTTTAATACACTGGGTATAACAGGAATCCTTTGTCTTTCTGGCCCACAAGGGGTTTGATGACAGAAAGATGACACCTAACTGAAATTTTATTTTGATATTACACAGAATGAGAAGTATATTTTGTCAGAGAACTCTAATTAATGCTCATAAGCAAACTAACAGTAATAACTAGAGAGAAAATGTAGCACTATTGTGCCAGACTACTGTGTTAAGATTGGAAAGGTATAATTTAACAATCCCAAAGCATTAGAAACTAGGAAGACTGTAACTTAAAGGTAGTTAACAGGCAATTCACTCTAGGTCAACCACTTAAGTATGACAAGGTAGAACTACAATTCATTAACAAATTCAACAAATATTAAGCAACTATCATATATACTGTCCCAGATACCATGGAAGACACAAATGAGACATAATCTTTGCCTTCAACAAGTTTAAAATCCAAGAGGATCAACTATGTACACAAACACTAAAAAAAGACAGTTAAGGATAAAGTATAAAAAACAATGCTGATACAAAAGAAGAGAACTTGAAGAAGGTGGCATTTTACCTGGGTATTGTAAGAAGGATAGGATTTCAGATGAATAGGAGGGTAGGAAGGAAAGAAACTCCATATAAAAATGGAACATGAATATATGCAAGGAACTCAGAGAGCCAAGCAGAAATGAATAATAACACCAATAGTTAATACTTATTTCAGTTTTACTATACACCAGACATTGTACTAAGTACTTTATAAATTGCACTGTTACCGTACACTATCATTAAGCCCATCTTTCAACTGAGAAATCGATGCTTAGCAAGTTTAAAATGCCCAAGACTTTATTAAGTTGTCATGCTAAGATTCAAATCCAGCCAGTTTGACTCTAGATTTTCCACTTAGAACCACTGTATGGCACTGCTTCATTCTTCCTAGAGGATGCAACAAAGAAATAAAACAACTGGAGATTAAGACTGAAAGAAATAATGTGACCATAATATAAAAAGCTGGGAAGCATGCTAAACAATTTGTGCTTTGTAGGCAAGAGGTAGTTATTGAAGGGTTGGGCAAGAGAAATGACAGATCAGACCTATGCTTTAGGATAGAAATGAGGCAGCAGTATCCAATGCATGAACTGGAAGAAGAGCCTAGAGGCAAGAAGACCAATGCAAAAATGACAGTAATACTCTAGAGTTGTCTTAGTCAGTTCCAGCTGCTATAACAATTATTCCATAGACTGGGTGGCTTAAACAACAAACATTTATTTCTCACAGTCCTGGAGGCCCAAAAGTCCAAGATAAAGGTGCCAGTAGATTTGGTGTCTATTGAGGGCCCACTTCCTAGTTTACATATGGCCATTTTCTCACTTTATCCCCACATGGCAGAAAGCAGAGAGGACAAGCTCTCATGTCTCTATGAGGACACTAACCCCACCAAGAGGGCTCTACGCTTACGACCTAATTCCCTCCCAGAGGTCCCACTTAATACCATCATATTGGGGGTTAGTATCTTAACCTATGAATTTTAGGGGAACTCAAACACTCAGTCCATAACAAGGTCAGAGATAATAAAGGGTGGTAGCCATGGGAAAAGGCAGGTATGAAAAATATTTCAAAGACAGAAATAACAGGATATAACAATAGATTGGGATTATGGGCTAAAATAAGGGAAAAATCAAAAATGACAGCAAGGGAATAGTGATATCAATAATCCACATGGAGAAATCAAGGAGAGCTGACTCAGATTTAAATAGGGTAACTAGAAGCTGCCAATGAGCTAAAAGATGTCCAACAGACTGTTACAAATATTATGACAGAAGTTTCAGAATAGGATGAAAAAACAGAGAAATTTGGTAACCATCTATTTCAAAGAGTTCAAATTGTGAAAGTAGATAAAATTACCACAGAATAAAGAGGTTGAAGCCCAAGGGAATGTGCACTTTTAGAAGTCAAAAAGAAGATGAAATCAGTCCTGAACTGACACTGATATTACAATTAAGAGACAAGAACATTAAAAAGTATTATAACTTTTTATAGTCCATATGTTCCAAAAGTAGATATATGGAAGATATTTTTTAAAATCCAAATTTAATTTCTTGAGATGAAATCTACAATGTGAGATGAAAATTACACTGGAAGATTAAAAGAAGAACAGACATTTATAAGAAAAGATTAATAACCTTGAAGATAGAGCAATAGAAGTTACCCAAAACAGAGAAAAAAATAATTTAAAAAATGCAAAGAGGATTAAATAGCTGAGACAGCTTCAACCAGCCAAATTGGAGTCCTCAAATGACAGCAAAGAAATGGGACAGAAAAATATGTGAAGAACTAATAGCCCAAAATTTTCCAAATTTGATGAGAACTATAAACCCCACGTAACCAAGAAGCTCAATGAACTACAACATAAGAAACATAAAGAAAGCTACACCAAGACACATCACAATCAAAACATACAAAAGCAGCCAGCGAAAAAGAGGCACATTACGTACAAACGAACAAAGATAAGGAAAAAGGCAGATTTCTCGTCAGAAACAATGTCAGTGTGAAGACAGTGGAGCAACACCTTTAAAATACTGAAAGAAAAAAACAACTGTCAAGCTAGAAATCTATACCCAGTGAAAATATACAAATAGAAATATTTGTATATTAAGGAGTCATGAAGAATTTCATGGGGAGTGGTGAGGGGTATGTTCACTATCTTGAGTGTGATAATGGTTTCACCAGTTTATATACATCAAAACTTACCAAATTGTATACTTTAAATATGTACAATTTATTGTATGTCACTACATTACAATACAGTTGTTTTTAAAAAGTCGACATTATGTTTACAGAAACAAAGAGAACACAGTTCTCAACTAAAAAATACTAAAGTAATATATCAACCAAATGTAAAGTGTGAAGTCTGAATGGATTCTGATTTGAAAAAAGTTATAAAAGAAATTCTTAAAAAAATTATGGAATTCTGAATATGAATTGTATATTAGATAATACCATGGAATTATTGCTGATTGTCTTAGGTGGGATAGTCTGGTTATGTAGAAGAACACCCTTTTTCTTAGGAGATTCATGCGGAAGCATTAGGAATGAAGTGTCATGATGTCAGCAACTTACTTTCAAATGACACAGGTTGGATATGCATATATGTGGAAAGAAAAAAGTAAACACAGCAAAATGTTAATAAATATTGACTCTAAGCAAAGAGTACAGGAATGCTCATTGTATTCTTCTTTCAATACTTTCTGCTTGAATTTTTTTCATAATAAAGCAGAGGAGAAAACAGCATATCTAGATGAAATAGTATCACAAAGTACAAATAACTAAGAAAAATACTTCCAACATACGACAGAAATAGGGCTGCTTTACTTTATATGCAAATAACTTTAAAACCTGGAAGAAAAATATGAATAATGCAGTTTTTTAAAGTAAGCAAAAAAATCACAAAATGATAATTAACAGAAAATATGTAAATGACCCCAAAAAACTTTCAAAATACACTCGACTTGTCAAAATTAGAGAAATGCAAAACAAAGCAATGTAATACCATTTTTGACCTAGCAGATGAACAAGTCTTTTTGTTTCTTTGATAAAAACTACTATTGGCAAGAAAGGACCAATAAAAACAAGTACTCTCATACACTGCCGAATTATATATTAGGTCA